TATGCATCCAATTCTTCCCTTTTGAAATCTCTTCTTATGCCTTTTTAGTCCCATTTCTGTTGCTCCAAATGTAGGTAGTATCTTTCGGTCTGCTCCAGGGTCCACTTAAATCATGGTTGTATGCTCACTTCACAGCTTCAGAAAGATAGGTTTAAGGGGGACTCAGACTTGTGCAAAAGGATGCTCACGTGTTTCGCTCTCTTGTAACATGTGAAGTTTGATTATTGCAACGTTCTGTTTCCAGCTCTTCAGAATGCTACTGCTTGCACATCTGCTAGGATGAGTGATTAAAGATGAAAGCAATGTAAATCTTGTACTTAGGACTTGGTTGACTTTCACAGCAAGGAAAGGAGTTCTTAAAACTTCCTCCTCTGCCGTATTGGTCTCTTTTGGCATGGTGGCATCCTGGGCGGTCCCCAAGGAAAGAAACACCTCCTGTAAATGTTAGTACTTTGTTGACCTTGTACTGAAAGCCAACTACTTGTTGTAAAATAATCATAGTAATTTAATGGTTGTTTAAAGATGTAGTCACCAATCCATTTGGGAACTGGAATTGTTAAACTAATTTTATATCATTTTTTAAACACTCTTGTAGTTTTGACTGCTAGAACGAGTGGTGGTGTTTATTCGCCTTCTGTTCAGATGAGTCAAAATTTATGGGGAACCTTAGTCTCTTTTACTGGACCGACTGGTGTAGTTTGGGGGGAAAAAAACCAAACGTTTTTTTTTTTGATCCATCATGTCTACGACATTGCTTGTGTCTGGGAGACCCTTGATATCGCATGACATATTGGTGAATAAATTGGATACAAAATCAAAATGGCCTTTATGAAACAGACTAAAAACTGATTAAATGCTAGGTTCTTAAGTATAATTACAAAGCGGGAATCATTGTTGAAGTTGATTTGTTTCTGGAGACGTTCCAGAGGACCGGGGCCAAGAAGTGATCTCTGTAAGATCTTGCTAAATCCAGTACATCGATGTAAATTCATTACTGATAAAGTTTGTAGGTTAAAGAAGGAAGTTGTAAACTCTAAAAGAGCAGAGTGCTGAGTGATCTGGATTGTTTGGAAAGCTGCATGCAAGTAAATGATGGGCATTTCAATAAAATAGGGTAATATATATCTAGGGACAAAGATCATTGGCCATGCAGGATATAATAACCTGTCCTAGAGAGCGGCAGCCCTGAAGAGGGCTTGTGGGAGATAAGAGGTGTACAAGTCAGCACAGGTACTCTGCTGCACATCAGGGACACTTGGTGGTAAGGAGACTGAATGAAATCCTTGGCTGCTGAAACACTGGGAACCCAGTAAGAATAGAAATATGACTTAACATCCATGTAGCACTGGCCTGACCTCTGCTGAAAAACTATCTGATGCAGCTATGGTTCACAATTCACGGAGTAAAAAGATTTAATGGGAATGGTGGAAGGGATGGAAAATATGCCTTACACAGAGACTCAAGGAGTGCTATAGAGATGTCTTTATCATCACAACCTAAAAGCTACCATCTGGGGAGGAAAAGTTCAATAGAAGTTCAGTATTACATGGACAAATTCATAATAAAAACCACACCTAGAAGTCAATGCAGGACCAATCAGTATTTTGAAGAGAGGCAGAGTTACAACTTTTTACAAATGGTAAGCAATCATTGGAACATTTCCACAATGGCTGTAATAGATCAGTCTTGATTTTTAACTCGACTGGTACATGAAGGAAAAAAAGGACTACAAACCAGAAGCAAGAATTAATACAGATAAAGCCCTACAGTTTACATAAAGCACTAGGTTGAAAATCCTAGTGGTCCTGTCTGGTCTTAAACTTCTATAGTTGTCAACTCTAATGGCCATTTTTCTTTAAATGGCCACTTTGAATTGAGTTTTCTCTTCTTGGTGTTAATTCAGATATGACTTTAAACCTAGTCTTTCCTAAGGTAATCTCTCTTTTTAATATTTTAAAATGTCATCACTGTGCTGTTTTTGGCTGGGGTAAGGTTAATTTTCTTCAAAGTAGCTGGTATGGGGCTATGGTTTGGATTCGTGCTGAAAACAGTGTTGATAACACAGGGATGTTCTGGTTACTGCTGAGCAGTGCTTGCACAGAGTCAAGGCCTTTTCTGCTTCTCACCCCACCCCACCAGCGAGCAGCTGGGGGCGCACAAGAAGCTGGGAGGGGACACAGCTGTGACGGCTGACCCCAACTGGCCAAAGGGATATCCCATATGGTATGATGTCATGCTCAGCAATAAAACCTCGGGGGGAAAGTTGGTAGGGGGGCCGCTGCTTGGGGACTGGCTGGGGCATTGGTCAGTTGGTGGTGAGCAGTTGTTTTCATTTGCATCACTTGTCTGTCTTGGGTTTTATTTATCTCTTTGTTTTTTCCCTTTTCATTACAATTTATTATTGTTACTATTATCATTATTTTAATTTTATTTCAATTATTAAACTGTTCTTATCTCAACCCACAAGTTTTCTCACTTTTACCCTTCCACTTTTCTTCCCCCGTCCTGCTGGGGGAGGGGGGGGAGTGAGCGAGCAGCTGTGTGGTGCTTAGTTGCCAGCTGGGGTTAAACCACGACAATCACATAGACAAAGCCATCAAAGCTCAACATTGTGAGGTTTATAAACTAGAGCCAGTTGGTGCTATCTCCTCAGCATCACAACGTCCCTGCCACATAGTTCTTCAGTGGCACCAACTTGCGGAGCAGTACTGTCAGCCGGCAGTCGGGGATATCAGAAGATAGACAGTGACTGATTTAGTCACGCTCCTCACCCAGACCTGTGGTATGGTCGTAGTTTCTGGATGTGTGCAGGATCTTGGCTTGCTGATTTGAGGGAGCCAGGAGGGGCTGTTCTATTGCCTTTGTTATTGACGTTCCTCTTTCTATGGACTGGCAACAAAATCGGACACGGCATGTCAACCAAGGGAAGACCTCTGGGGGAAGAAAGGCTTATATATATTTTCACAGACAGGAATTTAAAGTAGAGAAAATCCCATTCCCCTGCTTCTTTTTTATTTTCTTTTAGTTTCTAATCCTGAGGAGCGGCTATGGATGGAAACCAGTAGGGCCTCCATCGGCTGTCAAGCAGCCACCAGCAGGTATTACTGACCTGAGAGTATCATGGGCCCCGAGTCACCTGGAGTCATGCAGCAGGATCTGCTTTAATACTGGGAGAGATGTTGTGAGGAGAGGTGTTGCTGAATATTGATGAAAACAAAGAACTTGGCTTTAAGAAATAACATAAAGTTGTTTTAAATAACTGTCTATGCTTAGAACAGGCATCTAAAAGCTGAATTCTACTGACACAGTCTCTTAATGAGGCTGTAAAGATGTTTTCCTTGTCTACCTGTGCCACTTCTAATGTTTTACCTTTCCCTTGTGTTTGATTTTTTTTTTTTTTTACCCCCCAAGACCAGTCATTCATTTACAGCACTTCTGGTGATTTAAATGGGCTTTGGATCAGGCTCCAAGTTACCATTTCCCTTCTGTTTGAATAGGGATTTTCTTTTATCCAGAGGAAGGAAATCAATAATTTGTCATGACAAACCAATGCTCATTTGGATTCACAATCATGCGCTGAGCTCTTCTGTCATTTTCTAAAGCATTTTAGGGTAATGGGGAAGAGTCTCACTTGTGATCTTTCCTGTTTTCCTTTGTTTTCCCAGACTGATTAAGTTCTGTACTCCATTTGACCATTTGTAGAACAGATTACAGTAAATCTATCATTTTGTTTGTTTTAAAGGCAGTACGAACTTTCCATGCTTTCTGTGCCCCGAGTCTTTCCCAGGGGATCATTCCGAAATCCATGGAAGGATTAAACTTTGGCATGCCAAATCAACAAACATATCTGTAAGAACAAGCTAAACTATACTTTGATCTAAGCTTGCATGTTTGTTTCCAGTTGGAGTTTTGTAGATGGCAGAGGATTTTTTACAGAACTGAGTTCCCATCCACCTCTCTGAAATCCCCCAGCTCCCCATCCTTGGCTGTCTCATCCCAGGGCATGTCCAGGTGCTTTCTTGCCTCATGTTTGGGGATTGCTCCGGGAGCCTGGACCCCCGCACTGTTGAGTGGCTTGGCTGCGCGGACTAGTGGTCGGAGCAGAGTGGGGGGTCCTGGCCCTGAGGCTTTCCCCTGGGCTTGGGCTAGGACTGCTTGCCCACCTCCCTGGGCCTAGCCTTCTGCAGTCCCTATTGCCCATTGCCCCGTGAGGGGCTGGTGCGGAGGGGCACTCCTGCCACTTTGCGTTTGCTGGGCTGAAGAGAAGCTGGGTGCTGGCCCTGGCCGTGGGGCTTTCGCCGAAGTGTTTAGCCCTCCTCACCCTACAGCCACCCCCCTGCCGGCTCCTGCTCTGGGGGTCTGGCTCTGCTTCCCCCCCCCCCCCAA